TAGTGAAGGATGATTCTTTCTTTTCCTTTTTGTCTAGGACCAATTTAATAGTCATATCCAGCTAGTGAGGAATGGAGCCAAGCTAAGCAGCCTTCCTCAAATCCCCACCCCCACTTTGCCTCCGCCCCCCTCAGAGGTAAGAGAACTGGCATTTGGGACTCCACTTTTCTGTGTTGGTGGCAGAGTCAGAGTCTTCTCCTTTTTCTTTTTTCTTCTTTCTTTTTTTTTTTTTTTGTCAGCCTGGGCACTGTCCCTGAGCTCTTTTGCTCAAGGATAGTGCTCTGCCACTTTGAGCTACAATGCCACTTCTGGTTTTTGAGTGGTTAATTGTTGATCTGAGTCTCATTGGGACTTTTCTGCCTAGGCTGACTTTGAATCATGAGTAGCTAGGTTACAGGCATGAGCCACTGGTGCCCTGCTACCTTTTTCTTTATTTATAAAGTTATTGGGTCTATTCCTGTTTAGTGTAAAGAGTTGCTTATTCATTTTTACTCTAGATTTCTAGACTTTGTTCTTATCTCTCTTGCCTTCCACTCTTTCCTCTGCAGACAGACTTCATGCTTCAAGTGTTTCAACCCAGTCCCTCCCTGGCTCCTCGGATGCCCTTCTCCATTGGGCAGGTCACAATGCCCATGGTTATGCCCAGTGCAGATCCTCGTTCCTTGTCTTTCCCAATCCTGAACCCTGCCCTGTCACAGTCCAACCAGCCTTCCCCACCCCTCCCTGGGTCCCATGGGAGAAATAGCCCTGGTCTGGGTTCCCTTGTCAGCCCCCACAGTCCACACATGCCCCCTGCCGCCTCCATCCCGCCTCCCCCAGGCTTGGGCGGTGTTAAGGCTTCTACTGAAACTCCCCGACCCCAACCAGTAGACAAACTGGAGAAGATCCTGGAGAAGCTGCTGACTCGGTTCCCACAGTGTAATAAGTAAGTCGATTTAAGGATTCATTCATAATTTTCATGACTGTTCCCCATGGATGTAGTGTGGGGTCTCCATCCTCAACTATTTTCTTTTTTAGGGCCCAGCTGACCAACATTCTTCAGCAGATCAAGACAGCACGCACCACCATGGCTGGCCTGACCATGGAGGAGCTGATCCAGCTGGTAGCTGCACGGCTGGCAGAGCATGAGCGGGCAGCAGCAAGTACTCAGGTAAGATGGGTAGCCTTGAAAGAACGGAGGTCACCTGAAAGGTGGAGAGGCAGACTCCAGAAAAGTTGGGATGGAAGAAGCATTATAGTTGGGCTTCTCTTCCACTTTCTTGCTTTGCTGGAGTTGGAAGGAAATTATGTCTTTCTGTTGCATGCTGTGTTACTCAGACTTCTCTTACTCTAGATTATTTTTACCCACAGCCACTTGGTCGGATCCGGGCCTTGTATCCTGCCCCATTGACCCAAATCAGTACCCCAATGTTCCTGCCTTCTGCCCAGGTTTCATATTCTGGAAGGTCTTCACAGGTAACACTCTTTTTCTCTGCACAGTAGGGTATGCAGCAGCTCAGAGTAAGGAAGGAGTTGGGGGTGCAGGAGCATGCAGGAGGAAACCATCACTAGCTGCATTGTTGGTAGCCCTCCTGGGAGTATACAAGTACTTCAGGCAAGAATCTGTATTTCGACTTTTCTTTCTTCTGGTGTAAGTCCCTTTTATCTACATGGAAACAACAGGTGTAGTTATGGGCATAAAGGCAAGTTGGACCCAGAGTTCCCTACCTTGTTGGCCAAACCATCACTTCTCTCTTCTGCAGGCTCCAGCCACTTGTAAGCTGTGTCTGATGTGCCAGAAACTTGTCCAGCCCAGTGAGCTGCACCCAATGGCGTGTACCCATGTATTGCACAAGGAGGTGGGTATTATGGACTCCTCATGGTCTACTCTTTTCCAACAGCTGAGATCATTTCTCTTGAGCATTTTACTCTTGAGCATTGGGTTGGTTCTCTCATCATTAACATCTGATCACGATGTTTTCAGTAAATTGTAGCTTGAGCATCAGCAGATACTAGCAGCCTACTGCAGCTAGTATCTGCTTCTTTCCATCCCAGTTCGTTAGGGCACTGGAAAACTGCCAGTAAGGTAGATCCTCAGGTCTAGTGGTTGTTTTAAATATACGTTGTCAGGAGAATTTGTTTAGCCGAGAGGAGCAGATAGGGAGCCTGAATATGAGATCAGCAGTTCCATTGACACAACAAGACATCTTCACTAACCCCCAGGTCGGTCCTGTTCTGTATATTGCTAGGCAGAGACAGTTTTCTCAGCAGCAAGGGCATTATTCCTTAATGATTTTGGTTTGTTCATTTTGTTTCTCCAAAAGGTAGAAACTGAACTGATACTTAAATTCTTGATAAAGCCCTGAATAAGGGTTGGGGATAAAGGGATATGAAGTGAAACTCATCTTAGGCCAAATGATCATAAAGAGGAGGCAAGCCACATTATTACTCCACAAAAAGCAGCCTCATGAGCACCCTGAGTGTTCCTAGTCCTTGAGAGAAGGATGTTTGCCTGCTGTAGAGATTCTTGGGGGTGGGGAGGTAAAGAGCCATTGAAATAGTCCGTCTAGTCTCCCCAGTCAGGACGCTTCAGCATTAGACCTTGTGAAGCTTAGCGGTCCTCTTTCTGTCCTTCCCTTCATCTTTCCAGATAAACCTGAGGTGTGTCTGTCTCTCTCTCTCTCTCTGCAGTGTATCAAATTCTGGGCCCAGACCAACACAAATGACACTTGTCCCTTTTGTCCAACTCTTAAATGACTGACCTGTCTGAGCAGGAAGAAGAGGAGAAACTGATGTGAGCAGGAAGCACGGGTTGGAGATTTCTAAAACTCTATATTTATACAGTGATATATACTCATGCCATGTACATTTTTATTCTATAGGTAATGTGTGTATAGAAAGTCTGTATTCAGATGTTCGTAAATGAAAATATGTATATAACGCAGAAATATTGTTTCCCCCTCATCTTGCAGTCCTTTTGGGGGAGGCAGATTGTAGAGAAGATGTTGTTTAGTTTGGCCTCAAAATTATGATATCCTGTTTTCAAATACATCTAGGAAGCTGCTGTCGCTCTAAGGCCATCCTGCTTTGGTTTGGCTCAGCCCCTAGTCCATTTTCTTAAGGCTCATGTGTGCAGATTTGCAGCCTGGTGCTCACCTGCTGTCCAACCAGATGCCTTGCTTGTGGAGAGCCTCTGGAAGCCTCAGTGTTGTAGCCGTTCCACTCTGAACAGATAAAATAAGACTCATGAAGGGAAAAATGTAATCCTAGTAGTTTGACTTCTCATTGAATATTTTACTGTGTTAATGCTCATTATTTATACATAGACATCAGGTTTACAGAATATTGTTTTACATCAACAAAATTCACAGTCCAAGAATAACAATATAACCAGGTCCCATTTTCCCCACAAGCTTCTGTCCACCCCATTTCCTGGGTAGTAATTAGCACAACCAACAGGTTTTTCCCAGGCTAAGCCATTCCTTTTGGTCACTGACTTGGCTTCCACTCAAGGTCTGAAAAATGCAGCCTTGCGAAGTCCTCACCCTTACCCATTCCTCTGGTCTGCTAGTCTGGCTAAACCCCCAACACCCCTCAAAGGTTAAGGCAGTTGGTTTACAACCAAGTTGTTGGGTGACCTTGGGTGAGCTCCTGACAGGCACTGGGGTGAGATGTCTGTGCAGTTACTTGCCAAATATTATCTTGGGATGCTGGGTTAATTTTTGGAGCAAGAAAGCTATGGGGGGTGGGAAGGGAGGGAGGAAGTAGAACGTGAGGGTATAGTATGTTTCCTGTCCTGGGAAAAATAGAAAACAAAGTGATGAAAAAGGGTGGTGTGGGACTTTATGGTTAATGTGGAACTGGGTCATTTTTCTACCTTTGCTTATTAAGCACTTCCATTTTTTAGGTTTTATACCTGGGAAGGCAATAGCTCTACTAGAGCTTTAAATCTTTTTCTTTTTATTGCTAGAGGGCATAGCTTTAGCTCCCTTCTCTTTTAGAATTAAACAAGTAACTATAAAGTGTTACTGGCTCCAGGGGAACAGTATCCCTGTTATTAGCAATCAAATTTTCCCATTCTGAGTCTTGGAAAAGTTCATTGGTTCTAGTAATATGTATCAGGGTAGCAAAGACTTCCTTTCAGATCCACCTAAATTCTCTGTTCTTGTTACCATATTTCTCTTTTGTCTCTCATCCTTGCCTGTTAGCTCACAGACAGATTTTCTTGCTCTTGCCTTATGTGTCCAGGTTTACTGACAAGCACCAGTCTAAAGAACTGGACTTCCCTGGCCTGCCTTGGCATCTTGTAGGGCAACTAGAATGGCCTCAGTACCAACTCTTTAGAGGTCAAATGATGTACTTCCTTTGCCTAATGAAATAATACTTTCTCCAGTTTGGAAAACAGGAGAAGTAAGAGGAACAGGAAAAGTAGCAAAATGGAAGATCAGTTCTTTTGTTCTTTTCATTTGGAGGATTCACTTTTTATTTTATAATCTTAGGTTTTTCTCTTCTTTCAACTTTTCACAGCCTTGAGTTACCTGTGTCTCCTGAAAATCCAGAAATTGGCATAAAGAATATTATTTCTTTCCCCATTACAACCTTTGAAGCTGAAAGAATAGAGAGAAAAAAATGAGAAAATGAGCTAAATAGGAGGGCAGAGCTGCTTCCTGTGAGAGGCCAACTCTGGCTGGAGGGCAAGTGTTCTAGAAAGTTGTACATGGGGAGTTGAGGCCTGATCAGTCAGATGCCACACTTAAGCTTTGGGCATTCTGGTCTTTCTCCCTCTGCTTACTGGCCTTCAGTAGTTCAAGCTTTGCAGACCCAGTGGCAAAGGCCCCAAATGCATGTGTGGAGATGGGACTGTCTCATTTCAGGAATAAAATTTTGAAAATAGAGATATATAATGCATATTTTTACAAGCAAGAAGCTGTTGTCAAGATCTTTTTTTACACTTAGAATTCATAGATTCAAGGTAAAAAGGAAGTAACTGTAAAAAGAAAAATAAATGCAAGTTTTCTTTAAAGAACAAAACAAGTCACAAACAATAGATCAACAAGAGTTACTAATGTTTAGGTTGAGATTTATGCCTGGAAAGAGCCAGTTTTCTCCGACATAGGTATGAACTATAAAGCAGAATGTGTCATTTTCTTCCTGCAGCAGTTCTAGGTGATTTACACTGTAAGTCTGAACTGGAAGTGGACAAGTTTTCAGTCTTCCTGTTCGTTTTTAGAGTCATGGGGAGTTCCCAATCAGTCAAGCAGCACCAAGTGCAGTGGGAATGAAGAGAACCGGATAAAAACTGTGACTCAGTATTCTTGTTTTATTGGTTTATGGCTTGTGGGCAGCTGGCTCAGACCAGCAACTCCAGAGGCCCTCCTTACATTTCCCTCTGCCTTGGCAGGTGCCCTACCTGGAAGCATTGTGCAGACCAGATAGGAACAGGCTATGCAACAGCTACCTTCCCACTCACACGAACCATGGTATTTGAACTGACAGAGGAAGTGAACGTGGCCCCACGACCTTGCCCAAGAACCAGCCTGGGTACCCATGTACTACTGGGAGTGGGGAACAGAGAACAGGATAGGGGAAGAGGGTGGCCTTCAGTGGGGAAAGATGGAGAAGGAAAACAGGAAGCTTTTTGAGGCTCCTGTTCTTACTCCAAGTCCCCTTGATATTGAAGACCAAGGGAGAAAGCCTTCTATTCTGTACATTCATGGTGCAATACTAGTCAGTGTGTGAATGCATAAGCCAAATAAATGTAGGGCCATTAGGGAGAGAAAGCAGTGAAACTGCTCAGTACTGGGTTAAAGGTCTTACCACTTGGTACCACTAATCAGAAGAAATCCAGGTAGAGGTTATAGGTATGAACCCTGTACCTGTTGAATGAATCTTCAAGGTTCACTAGGATTAGGTAGGAAAGGCCTCCTTTCTATAGCTTTAGCACCTCGGCTACAAAGCTCAAGAGCCATCATTTGGGGGGGGGGGGGTGGGGGGAGTGAGCCTTTGATCAGGAAGACAGTGTCCGCCCTGCCCTGCTACATTCCAAGTGCTCTCCTACAGGGAACTGGGCTCTGGTGGTTGGGATGTCTCAATGCCACTATCATACCTGAAAGGAAGGGTGTAAGCAGAGACAAGTGGGATTAATAGGGTAGGAATTCATTTATGTGAACTTCCTTGTGGGTACTTTTCACTGAAGAGATCTCTTTGGCTTGTGTCAGCCTTCTTCCCATCTCACTTCTACCACTAAACACTGGGGGAACCACACCATCTTAGGAGGTGGAGTTGTGTCTTGGAGATGAGGTCTAAAACTGGGGTTGGCAATTGTTGTGTTCCTGCCTTTTCTAGCTTTTCATTTCAACTGCTTCTTGTCTTTTTTATTCTATTCTCCTTTCTCCTTTTATTTTTTTTTGGGGGGGTGGTGGTGGTGGTGGTGGTAACTGTTAGAATTCCACTTGCTAGGCAGGTGCTCTACCACTGAGCCATGCCTCCAGCTTTTCTTTCTGACCACCCCCATAAGTACAAATATTCCATCCCATTGTTCTTTGTTTAATTCAGGAACAGTCTTTGCACCAGTGTAGGCTTATTTCTGCAGGCCCTATCTCTAAAACAAATATCAAACTGCATCTTTTCACTTAGGTCAGCAGAAAAATGAAGTTGGCCCTCTCTCTGCCAGGGTACCACAGAGACACTAGGATGGCCTGGGCACGATGCAAGTACTTCCAGACATAAGGAAAGAACACTTTGGGTTGGAAAACCTAAAGGGATGGTGGGCAAAAGTTCAGCACTAAAAGTTTAAGCAGCAGAATTTCCCAAGTGGAGTTTGAGGTGACCGAAAGCATTCCCGCTAGCAGTGTGCTGCTGCTTCCCTTCCGTTTCCTACAGGTGCAAGCCCTGGAATCCCCCTGTGGCCCTTTTCTTCCCTCAAGGCAGAGGCATTTGGTGGGTGGTTGAGGGTCCTTAGGGCCACCTGTGTCTCCCTGACTTGTGACCAAGGCGAACCACCCAGATGTGGTCCTGGGCGATTTCTGTCTTCCACCTTCGGGCCTCCTCACTTCAGCAGGGAGATGTCATCAGCAAAGTCATCGTGCTGATGGCGCAAGCAGCGGAGGCAACGCCACTGGCACACCATGAGGCAGAGTGGCAGCATGAAGAGGGCACAGATGGCAGCCATGACATAGGCTATGGTCATGAGGGTTGACTCATCTGTCTGTGGAATGTTGTAGCCACAGTCTTCCATGTCAGGGGTGACAAAAGGGCCTTCAACCGCCGCTGTCCTGAACTCATCGTGCACTGGAGAAAGGGCAGATAGGAGGCGAGCTGTTATTGTAACACAATAAAAAGAACTTCCTACCCCTGCAGGCTGCTCATTCACCTTTGGGGGGGGGGGGGTGGCAAGGAACCCAGTGCTAGGTGACCGTCTCCCTCAGGGCCATTGACACAGCCACCCTTCCCCGTTTACCCCATTTAGGTATGATACCCTAAGAGGCCTTCTGAAGCTAGCCCTTCACACCCATAGCAAATTCCAGTGGCAAGTCCAGCTGTGGATCCTGCCACCTTTGCTAGCATTCAACCTCCCTGTGGGGTAGCTCACTAAACAACTAAAGGCTCAGCTTCCTGCCTCCCCATCCAGGGCTTCTCAATGCCTCAGCTTCTCCTGATGCTCTAGGTTTGCCCCAGAGCTTCACGATTCAGGCAGGGGCAGCAGAACAGACAATACAAAAAGACAGGCACTGATACCAGCTTTGTACACCATGTGGATGTATTCCTACCTCCCGCACAGATCCAGGTAGCCTAACTGAAGAATATGGATAGACTGGCCCCATCCTGTTCCCTGGTGCTCTTACCATGGCAAGCACTGACTGCAAAGCCAATTCGTTTTCGGGCCCGATCAAAGACAACATAGAAGCCCTCCATGATGACGGCCCCCATGACAGTGCCTGTAGATGACTGTGAGATGGCAAACTTGTAACAGTCGTCTTGGGACGTGGCCACATCTTCCACTGGCCGCAGGTATTGCTAGGGGTAGATGAGTGCAGGGTGAGAGGGTGCCCTCCTCATTCCATCCTTCACCCCATCTGCCCACCAGGTTCATTCCTGAGCCCTGAGGGGTTGGGTTTTCCAAGACCCCTTTACCACTAATTCTCCTTATCTATTTTGTCTTCCAAGTCCTCAGAGGCCACGCTGGCTTGCTGTCCCCATACGTGCCCATGGGTGTTTTGTCCTCTTCACAGACCCCACTGTCTCAGGGTGGGACCTACCTGTGGAAGGATGGTGATGCGGAAGGACTGATTGGTGACCTCACCCATGAGGTAGAGTGAGATGACCGGGAAGATGTTCCAAGGCGTGGTGCCTGCTTGCCAGCATACCAGCTGCTCCCCTAGCCAAAACCCATCTGGGAACTTCTCTGTCTGTGTCAATGAGAAATAGATGACTAATCATCTGCCTGTCACTATTTCACCTCTTCATTTTCATATAACATTGACTGGCCTCTTAATTTGCTTTAGCTATTTCTGGGAAACATCCAAAGTAGGGGAGGTGAATTCTGCAACCCAGAGGCCAGGAACAGAGAGCAGGAGAAATATGTATCAGGACAGTAAGGTGTATGCTACACACTTATAATCCCAGCTCACAGGAAGCTGAGGCCAAAGGATCATGGGTTTACAGTCTGGGCTAGCTGTAGTGAGACTGACAAAACAAAACGATCATTTTGTACAAGGAGGATTGAATAGTGAGTACATAGAACAATTTTTTCATTTTTTTTATGGTTTATTTGTTTGTTTTTTTGTGGTGGTGTTTTAAACTCCAGTACTGGAGTTGGAATTTGGTGACTTGAGCTTGATTGGCTGTCACTACTACTTGACGCATCTTCTAGCCTAGTGTTTTTTTTTTTGCTGGTTCATTGGAGGAATCTTGTGGACTTTTCTGCCTGGGCTGGCTTCGAACTATAATCCTCCTTATCTCAGCCTCCCAAGTAGCTAGGATTGTAGGCATGAGCCACTGGCACCCAGCTACAAGAATAGTTTTCAAGAGCTCTAAGTGAAAGCATCTCAGCTCTTTTGAGGAATGGGAGTGTCACTGACTCCTTTGATAGCATGCCATCTCTGGTACCCGCCCGCACCCTTAGTCCACTGACCGAGGAGGCTGCCTTGATGGACTTGACTGCAGCTTCAAACACTTTCTTGGGCAAACGAAGGTTGGTGGTACCACTGTCCACAATGCTCTTGTCATAGTTGTACTAAGAAGAGAGGAAAGAAAGGGTGAGAATAGCTTTCTTGATGCCCCACTCTGAGGAGAGTTGGAGCATGAGCCTGGCTGCTTGGGGTCCTGCCTGGGTTGGTTTCTTGGTTTTGCCTCTGTGTACCTCCTTGTGCAAGTTGTTTAACCTCTGTGCCTCAGTTTCCTCATCTTCAAAAGGAGGCTGAGTCTCTACCTCAAAGGTTATCGTGAGGACTAAATTAAACTTCCCTGGCAGATAGGAGGCACTCAGTAAATGTTAACTTTTTTTTATCTAGCGTGGGCAAGCATTCTTCAGTTCTAGAATATGGATACCTTTCAGTAGTTTTATATCTATTCTAATTTATCATGCCTAAGGATCTAGGGAAGGATCTGAGCACTGGTGGCTCACGCCTGTAATCCTAGCTACTCAACAGGCTGAGATCTGAGGATCACGGTTCCAAGCCAGCCTGGACAGGAAAGTCCGTGAGACTCTTATCTCCAATAAATCACTCAGAAAACTGGAAGTGGCGCTGTGGCTCAAGTGGTAGAGCGCTAGCTTTGAGCTGAAGAGCTGATGGACAGCACCCAGGACCAGAGTTCAAGCCCCATGACCAAAAACAATAAAAAGAATCTAGAGAAGGAGACCCAAATACTTTAGCTGGCAGTTGTTGGCTACTGCCAGCCTCAGGGATTAACACTTTGAACTTTATCCAATCTTTTCCACAGTCCCTGAGGAAGTTGTTTTCACCAGTTTTTGATTGGCCCAGAGACACATAGCTTGTAAAGCAGAGCTAGACTCCAATTCATGTCTTTTTAACTCCATCATACTCTATAAATGGCTTCCCAAGGCCATGAAGTCAGACTGTCTGGGGTCCAGACAGGAGCTAGTTCCACACTCACCACAAGCCCTGGGTAAAAGTGCTCTGCCGCCCTGCACTTCAGGCTTAGTGTGACCAGTAATTTCCAATTTCTGGGCCCAGCCCCAACTTCCTTCATAGGTCCCTTACCTCTGCACAGCATCCCCTCACTATGATGCCTAACCTTTTTCTCCCCTCAGCTCCCCTATGGGTTCTTACCTCCTTGCAGTCCATTTTCAGGTCTTGTCCATTGATTTCTACCCGTACAATGATCACCTCATAATACCATTCCCGCCGGATGGGTGTGTACCAGAGACTCCCCGTGTACAGTGAATGGTCAATGCCCCCGATGATCTGAGAAAAAAAGAGCTCACAGCCGTGTCCTGGCCCAGGGGAGAGCAGGCCACGTGGAGACCTAGCAATAAGTTCTGTTGTTTCTGCCAACAAAGGTCCTTTACACTTCATTGTTTTCCCTTCCAGCTTCTAATCAAATCATGCCCTCAAGTGATTTATATTTTCTTAAGTGTGTTCAAGGGAAGAGACTGTCCAGGATTTTTAATTATTTGTTTCAGAGTCCCATAGCCCTGATATAAGTTATTTAAAACTTACACTGGCACAATAAATGTTGAGTGAATTATGCGCTTCTGTTACAAGTTTGATTTTCTCTGCCTGTTGAGGAACCTTTCACTATTGTCCTAGTCAATAAATAGATTTTAACTTCCTTACATCTTTGCCTTCTGACTATCAGACTAAAAAATCTTAAATTTAGGCTGGGAAAGTGGCTCAGTGGTAGAGTGTTTGCCTTGCATGCATGAGGCCCTAGGTTCCATTCCTCAGCACCACATAAGCAAAAAGAAAAAAGCCGGAAGTGGTGCTGTGGCTCAAGTGGTAGAGCGCTAGCCTTGAGCTGAAGAGCTGAGGGACAGCGCCCAGGCCCAGAGTTCAGGCCCACAACCGACCAAAAAAAAAAATCAAATTTAGTATGTTTTACCCCCATTTCCGTTGAATCATTCCTAATCCATTTTTGACTTTTCCCTCAAGTGCCTTGAAGCCTTTCAGATCAAATGCAAGGAAGAAAAGAGTGGGGAACAAGTAGAGATGGCTTCCCTTGCTATTATGTGGTAGAGCCAAGACACTCATGACACTAAGGCACATTGGTACCATCTCTCCTAATGTCAGAACCTCCCCTCCCTGAGGACATACTCACCATGCTCCCTCCGACTGAAGCCAGCACCTCAGACTGGTTGAGTGGGAAGCCTGCGCCACAGAGCTGCAGGGAGAAGAGGTTGGGAACGTGGGTTTGCTTTACCAAGGAGTCAAAAAAGGGCTCCAGGGAGTCATCAGGCTGTAGTGGAAAGAGACAAGGAGTGAGTCCTTTTGTGGAAGTCCTGATGAGTAAGCCTAGATTCCTACCTATGTTGGAGGGTAAAAGCAAAACTTGGGAGTGTTCCCTAGGTAAGACTGAGATACTAAGCTTTGGCAGAGAGAAAGAATGAGAGAACACTAGCAGGAGATGTATACAGGAAAATACAGAGCCATAGTCTTTCTTCCCCATAGCCTAATGTACTTCAGATTTACAAGGCCTTTTAAAGATCTCAAGAGTATATAGAAATCAAGATCTGTTCATTCCAGTGCCTATCACAGCTGCTCTCAGATTACCACCCTAGCTCTGTCCAATAATACTTCCAACTGACTTGCTTTCCTCTTTTAGTCCACTCCCTTTCTTTCTCCCAGTCCCTTCCTGTGTCCCATGCAATGTGCAAGGTGCAGACCCTGAGGAGTGCAAACCCTTGTTCTTACCCTGGCAATCTCAGCATAGGCCAGTCCCAGGATGCCTTCCCAGTTGGAGCCATTGATGAAGAACTTATCCGATTCAGTGATGGCAGCGATGTTGGCACGCACAGTGACGTTGGGACCATGAGGGATGCTCACCAGGTCGGTGCCCAGCTCTCCCTCCCACTTTCCTTGGGTGTAGGGCACATAGACACCCTTCCGGAGATCCCTGTATGTGCTGGACCTGTGGAGTGTAAACAGAGATCTATAGATGTCAACCCACAATGGGCATAGGAATCCAGGATCAAACCTACTTCCCAATGCCAACATCTCTCAAGGCGTCCTAGAGTCTGCTCTATTTCCCAGAACAGAATGTAAGATGACCTTGCAAGATTGGGGGTGGGGGCGGGTGGCGGGAAGCTAGTGCTGGGGCTTGCTCTCCTGTGTCTGTAGCTCATATTCCTGGATCTGGAGCTCAGGCCTGTGAAGAACAAGCTGGGCTTTGTGCATTGTGCTTGCTGCTCCTGCAGGGACAGCTCGCGGACATCTCTTCCTCCCCCACTGCAGCAAGCTTCCAGAGAAAAGGAGCCATTGACAGTCATGTTGCCTTGGGGCACGGTGGTGCCATCTGAGTGGTGGAGAATGTGCCAAGCAGGATAAATATGGAAGTTCTGCAGCAAGTTTTAGGGAAGAGATTTGCACATGCATCCTAGCAGAGCAGGGAGGTGGTATCTCCTGGCATGGGGCAGCCGCTAGGGTGGGACTGGGATAAAGGCCTGGATGAATGCCTTGCCATTGGTCCTGCTCTCCCTCCCCAACTGTTTCCTTAGCTAAGGATATTCAAGATTCAAGGAAAAGGGGTCAAAGAAGGCAGGAAATGGGAAAAGGCTTCACATCTTCCTGGAAGTGCCAGGTGCTCATGTTCTGTCACACACAGATTACCTTAGATGTTAAGACAGCTTCTCACCACTTTCCTGTCCTGATTGTATGCTAGGGGGCCTTCCAGATCACCCTCCTGGCTCTCCTACCTAAAAACCCCTACTGTAACCCCCTCTGCCTCCAGCTGTTGGCACTCTGGGTGGTCCACAGAAGAGACATTGGACATAAGGGCCCTCACAGCATTATGAGAAGATTCTTTCCTTCACATCCTTGAATCATTCAAAGCCACCTGGATGGAGTGGCCCCTGGGTAAAAACAGAGCAAAGGGAGCTCATTGCTGTAGTGTGGTAGCCTAGAGTCAGCTGCTGATGTCAGAAACCTGCAAGCCCCTCACATCTGCTCAGGCAGCTCGCTCTCCTTCATCCCCTCTCATGGGAAGCTGCCCACCATTGCTGTGGTATGGGTCCCCCAACCCTTCTCTCCTCACCTCTGCTGGCTTCTTTTTCCTTCCACTTCCCCAGCAGGACCAAAGGATCTGAGGATCTCACCTTTCCCCCTTCATCCCTCCCCTGACTCCCATTGGGAAAGGCTCTCCAGCCTGGGCTCTTCCCCACTGAGGCTCCCCACTATGACTCACAACTGTCTCTGGTAGTAGCGATGCAGGAAAGGGTGAGGGGCTGCGCCCACTGCAAAGTTACTGCTGCCTGTGTCCACCAGGATGTTGAGCTGTCAGAAAGGAGAGAAAAGTATAAACAACCAGGTAGCCTTGGGCTCACCAGCCTGGTGGGCCTTTACCCCACAGTATAGTCTCCTATTAGAGTGTCCAGGGCGGAATTTCCATGATGCAGGGTTGGTCAGGCTGGCACCTGCTGGATACAACCATAGACAGAACTTTGGGTCTTAAGATGCCCTTAGCATGGCCTCAGGAATTTTGTGTCTGCTTCTGTCTGTGGAATCCTAACATTTTCTGTCACTAGAGCCACTGAGTGTGCACAACTGTCAGGTTGTCTCTGTTTTCGTTTTTGTTTTTTGTTTTGGTCTGTTGTGCGGCTTGCACTCAGGGCTTAGGCGCTGTCTTTGAGCTCTTTATCAAAGTGATAGCAATCTATCACTTTGAGCCACAGCTCCATTTCTGGTTTTTGAGTGGTTAATTGTGGATAAGAGTCTCACAGGGACTTTTCTGCCTGGACTGGCTTTGAACCACGATCTTTAGACCTCAAACTCCTGAGTAGCTAGGATTATAGGTGTGAGCTTCTGCTCTTTGTATAGCTGACAGAGTCTGTCTTCCCCTCCTTTCCTAGTTTTCCCATGAAGAAGCTTGATGCATCCCCTTTCAGCTCAGAAGAGATATTCTAGGGGCTGGGAAGGTGGCTCAGTGGTAGAGCGCTTGCCTTGCATGCATGAGGCCCTGGGTTCGATTCCTCAGCACCACATAAGCAAAAAGAAAAAAGCTGGAAGTGGCGCTCTGGCTCAAGTGGTAGAGTGCTGGCCTTGAGCTGAAGAGCTGAGGGATAGCGTCCAGGCCCAGAGTTCAGGCCCCATGACTGGACCCCCCCCCAAAAAAAGAAGAGAGATTCTAGGCTTTTGCTTTGGCAAGTGGAGTTGTGGGGACCAGGATGGCACATGATGCACTTGTGTGTGTATGACCCTGCCCACCAGAATGTGGCATTTCAGCTACGTGTGCCACTGTTAGAAATTATGGAGATTCAGGAGCCCCATATGATGTCCTGGTGAAAATTCATCTTGTCAATGCTTGTTTTGGCTAAGGGAATACAGACAGGTGTTTTCTCTGTGTTCCTTGCTGAGGTGCTCCTAGCATCTCTTCTAACTTGTCTCCCCTTCCTCCTCCTATAACTCTGTCTATAATGGTATTAGAAAATCAACTTAAAAGGAAGGTTTTGCCTCGTAATTCCAGTCCATGATTGTTTGGCTATGCTGCTTTGGGCCAGTGGCAGCACAGTATATCCTGGTAAAGGAGGCCTGGTCATCTCTCAATGGCCAGGAAGCAGAGAGAGGAAGGGGCTCAGTTCCCAATATTCCCTTTAAGGACACACCTCCAATTACCTAACTTCCTCCCTGTAGGCTCACCTCATACAGGTTCTACTCTCAATAGCACCAAGCTGAGGAACAACCCTTCAACACATGGGCCTCTGGGGGACAATTCAAACTATAGAAATCATGTTTCTTTACCCTATAAGTCCCTCTAAACCTCCTCAGAGAGGCAGATTTGAGTCTGGGAGCTCTTATTCCTCATATTTAGCCACCTCATAGATGAACACTTAGCGAAGTTTGTCGTTTCATTAACTGCATACTGCACAGAAGACACAACAGGCCTGGTTCAGTGACATGCCACTGTCCTGGCCCCCTCCTTCAGCCCTCCACTGTATCTCTGTGAGCAAAAGAAGGCAGGTCCTGCCCTCAGAAAGACCACTGTTCTAGAGCTTCTGCCCTGACCTTAGGGCCTTCCTTTCTGTATCCTCTCCTCAGTGCACCCAAGTCAGCAGAGCTTCCTTCAGCAACCGGGCTCTGACCTTGTCCCCTTGAGCAGGTCACTGTGCTGCTTTCTGTCCGTCTGCCAAATCATCTGCTCTCCGTGGTGCCTGTGTGGCTGTGCTGGCCACTCCCCCAATGCCTGCTTGGGCTTCCTGGCCACCCTCCCAGCCCAAAGACCCCTCTGCACTGGCGGCCAGTCCTCCCCACGCCTGCCGTCCTGGCCCTGGTCCCATTTCCCTCCCTGCCCCCCTCTCTCCACCTCTCCTCCTGTCCCTCTCCCTGGTCTCTGGGCAGCTACCAGCTCCAGCTGCTGGGCTTTCAGAGAAAATCAATAGAGCTGGGAGGCTCCCCGGGTCTGATTTCAATCAACCAGGTTAATGATTTTAAAAAGCTCCTCCACTGTCCCCTCCCCTAGACCCCTTTTCCCTGGCACCAGGAGTGGGCCTCATCTGCTGCCACTGGACTTCAAAGAAAGAAGGCCTCACCATACTGTCCCGGTAGCCTGTGAGAGCAAGGGCTGCCTACAGTGTGTGTAACTGGCTAGCTCTAGCAAATACGGCTACGTCTTGCCAGTGGCATGGAGCTTTTATCTGGGGGGAGGGGATCCTGCTGTCCCCAGCCCCTCCCTGTGCCCCCTCTCCTCTCTCTGCAGGCTGCTACTTCTCCCCCCACCCCACATACTCTTGTTGCCCTTCCAGTCCAGTTCTCTTTCCTGTGGTCTCCCTCTTCCACCCCTAAGGAAAGAACAAACCACCTTGCTCCCATCCCCAGTTTCAGGCCCTCGCTCTTTCTGCCTCAGCCTGTCCATATTCCACAACAAGATGGAAAACCAGAGTAAACACTGAGATTCCCTCCGAGGAAATGTCTGAAGCTGAGAAGTGATTGCTGTCCTTCAACGTTTCTATGGGAACCTCCTCGCAGCCAGCAGCCTCTCTCCCTCTCACAAGGCAGCAGCCTGGGTCACACATGGTGCTTGCTCATCATGGAACATGGCAGTTAGGGGGGCCTGGAGATAGAAATATGCAGAAGAATCTCACCTCCTAATTTCCCAGGCTGGGGCCATTCAGTGAGAACACTTTGCAGCCCGTCATCTATGCCTGTGGCCGCCCCACCCCCTACCCTCAGCCGTATCACCAGGCTCAGGCCTCAGCGTCCACCTAGGATCAGGAGCTCTTGCCTCCTCCATTGTCAGGTCCTTTCTCTTTCCCTTTCCCTGCTGGTATTAGCTCAGGGTCTTGTAGGAACTCTACCATTTCAGTCTCAACCTCCACCATTTTTGCTTTTCAGGCTTTTTTCCTTTTTTCTCCATCATGGGGCCTGAACTCTGGGCCTGGTCGCTGTCCCTCAGCTCTTCAGCTCAAGGCTAGTGCTCTAACACTTGAGCCACAGGGCCAACTTCCAGCATTTTCTGCTTATGTGCTGAGGAATTGAACCCAGGGCCCCATGCATGCAAGGCAAGCATTCTACCACTGTGCCACCTTCCCAGCCCGTTTTTTTTTTACTTTTTGTCAGTCATGGGCTTAAACTCTGGGCCTGGACGCTGTCCCTGAGCTCTTCATTGCAAGGCTAGTGCTCTACCATCTGAGCCACAGCGCCACTCTCAGTTTTCTGGTATTGGAGTCTCACAGACTTTCTTGCCTGGTCTGGCTTTGAACCAGATCCTCAGATCTCAGCCTCCTGAGTAGCTAGGATTACATGCGTGAGCCACCAGCGCCCAGCTTTCAGGCTGTTTATCAGATAGGGTCTTGCTTTTAGCCCAAGGCCAGCCTTGAATGAGATCCTCACTTACACCTCTAGCATAGTTGGGATGCTGTAGGCAGGCAGCACCATGACTAGTTTGTTTAGTTGAGATGAGATATGGATACCTTTTTTGCCTAAGTTGGTGACAAACCAAGTTGTTCCTAAGTGGCCAGTATTACAAGCAAGTGCTTCTGTTCCCAGTACACCTGCCTATTAATGATTAATTTTCCTTCCGGTAGCTCCTGCTTCCCCAGCCCCACCCCCCCATCACCAAACCAGATTCTTCTAATTGGCATTTACAAATGCTTGAGTTTCTACATTAAAAAACAGCAGCAGCAGCAACAACAACAACAACCTTTCCTTACCCTCACACCCGCCTCCAGCACCCTTCTGTCCCTTCACAGGGTAAGCTCTCAGCCAAGCCATCTTCATTTCTTCACCTCCCACTCATTCCTCAACCTATTCTAAAACTGGGTTTGCCAAGATCCCTCTACTCGCAAGCAGCCCTTACTACATACAGTTCACGGTGATTTCATGTCACCCACTGCAAGTCGGTCTCCACCTCAGTTCTCACTCCTCATCATCCGTTCACATCCCAGGCTGGCTTTAGCTGCTTCCTCATTTTTCCTCTCTCTTGGAGCACCTCCCCCAGAGTCCCTAGACCTTAAGCTTCTAATGCTCACCCTTTCCTTCCCTTCAAGCTCCAAGGCACATATGGAACCCCCTCCACCCCCAAGCACCTCAAAGCCAGATTCTCCAATGCTGACCTTACAGTGTCCTTCCCAGGTCCCTGTCCCAGTGAGTGACGTCATCACCCATCTGTTTGGTCCGGCAGCAACTTCAGAGACATCTTCACACCCTCCTCTTCACATCCTGGCCAATCATTCTCCTTCAAAGCGCCTGCAGGCCTGAAAGTCCTCCAAACTCTGCCACTCTAGGGCCCAGCTAGCATCATCTCACCCCGGGCTATGATAAGGGTGTCTCCACTTGATCATCGCACACCCACCCTTGACCTCTCCAGACTCTTTTCTGCACGATCTTTCCAAAGTGCAAACAGGACCAGGTTACCCTCCTAAATCAATCTTTTCCTAAGCCAACCTTTTTCCTCTTGCCACTAAAACAAAGACTCTAAGCTTGAACGTTTCCTACAAGAGGCTCCCCAGTCTGGCCCTGCCTGCACACCCAGCCTCCATTTGTCCCCTCCTCCCCTCAGCCGCCTCCATCAGTCACAGGGGCCTCACTGCACGCCTTAACACCTGTGTTCCCTACAGAAGCAGCTGTGCAGGCCCTCATCCTGCCTGGACCAACCCTCCATTCGCTTGGATTTTGCCTGCTCAACCCTCTTCCTTCAGTCTGAACTGAAAAGGGGCTTCCTGGAGGACAAAGCCTAGGTCCCTTTCCTTTATCCACAGTTCTCTACTCTGATGCTGACCTCCCTTTGTATTGAATTTCTTTCTTTTTTTTTTTTAATTCCTAGAGTGGCCTCAGTGCTT